AGCAGCGAGCCGGCTGGGAGGGGTGCCTCAGAGCCCCACACCCTGAGACGCAGGATCTGCCTCTTTGATTTCAGGCCAGGCTCTCTCCAGTGACGGGGAAAGAGACCCTTCTCCTCTGCCTGCGGAGAGCGCGGGACCTCTCGCTGCCTTTTGCAATGGGCCATATACTAGCTTGCACCACCCTGCCTGTCCTTGGAGTCTCCTCTTTGCCTGAGAAGACTTGCAGGTCTGCAGAGAGCAGAGCAGGATCTTTTCAGGACTGGACCGGGTGGAAGGGGAGAGAGGCCGCCACCGTCCTGTGACTGATCCTATGCTGAGCTGACACCGGGGAGACACCCCTGGCAAATACATGTAGAAATGGGATTTGATCTGTGCAAAGAACGGGGATCCCAAAATATATATTAAGATGTGTTCTCAATACAAACAGAGTCAATAGTTTAACCTTATAGAAACCGATACAATAAAAAAAATATATAAACACAACACAATGACATATTTCTCAACAAAGTCTCCATCGGTGGGGTAGAATATACAGCATCCTGTTACCTCTACTTTAGATTTTATTAAGCCCAGATTTGTACTTTTCTTGGTATGTTTTCTTCTGGTTGAAGAATATCCCTTCTTCTTCTTCTTACTGGGACAAGCAGCCTTTCGTTGACCACTGGATCTTGTGTCCTGGTCAGGTTTTAAGTGCCAGTGGTCATCAAGACAGTTTCCAAAGCAGTCTTCCCTTCCCAGGAGAATCCAAAAAAATGCAGACAACTGTATAGGAACAGGTCTTTTGTATAGCTAATGGCTCTTAATTGCCCATTCAAGACCAATCCCCTGCAACATATTTTGCATTACCATAAAGATAGCTTGCAACAATATATTATTGTTGGGGAAATCGGCTTCTTTCCCAGTTAGTGTGGAGACTGCAGCCAAGCTCAGAGGGGAGAGGGGTCTGTGATTGTGTCCTGGACATTAAACCCTGTTGAGTCCTGGCTCTACTGCACCCCAGCCTGTGAGCTTTGAATGCCTCAACGTCTATCCCAGTTCTGACTTGCCATTGAATTTTGAAGTTGCCTCAGCTTTGCAGAGACCTGCACTTCCACCTTCATTCAGACGGATGCAACAAGACAGGAAATGGGTCAGCGTATGCAGAAGAATCCCGGTTCAATCCCCAGAACCTCAAAGGGGGAAAACCTTGCCTCAGAGGGTGGGGGGAAAGCTCAGCATTGTGGCGACGTCTCCCTTCAAACAGAATCCCGGCAGGAAGACCTCGTCAACGTCACAAAGTCTTGGGGTCAGCCTCGTATTACGTAGGGTCCAGAGGTCATGTCATTAGAAGCAGGAGTTTCGGAAGTGCTAAAAGAAGTCTGGTTGGCACAGTGCAAGCTTTCCCACCTCCCTGTCTTGCTTTGGGTTGTGATCGGTCTTTGGGAGGCAAGCAGGTGGGTTTGGAAGTATAACTGCTCAGGCATCGGATACTCAGCAAAATCTGTCAGTTTCAAATGACAAGCTGCTTTTATCAGCTGTTGGTCTTTTGATGGTCCACCCTGATTTCCCCTGCTCTCAATCTCTCTTCCTTGAGTCCAACCACAAGCCTTAGCAAAGCCCAGGGACACCTTGCTGGATCCTGGCTTCACAGGCAGGCAGAGCCCAGGGCTCCAAACCACCGGGCCGGCCTCTTCCCGGAGCCACGACTCGGCCGAGACCATTCCGGCCTGCTGGAGTTCAGGCAGATGCTCCCTCCGGTCAAGGAGGCAGACAATGCTTCCACCTGCCCTCGGCAATGGGCAGGGGTGTGGGCCAGGCTGCTCCCTTCAGTGCAAACAGGGCCCCACCCCGGATGGATGGACGGAGCAGCCGCCACGAGAGCTGCACCTGTTCAGCCTCAGGGTGCAGTCCTGTCATGAGAAACCCTGGCTTGCTTTTGTCCTCTGTGATGGTTCTCAGCCGCCTTGTTTACTGGACCACAAAGAGAAGTCGTGGATGGGGAGGGGGGCGAGGGAGGGAGCCCACAGGTTAAAGGGAGGCTCAAAGCCCGCCGGTCTGCGGAGACAACAAGAGGGAGCCATGGAGCTGCCCCTCTGGATGTGGCTGGTGCTCTCGGTAGGGGTCTGCGTGGCTCAGGGGGCACCAGAGCCCCTGTGCCCACTTCGAGGGGAAGAGGCGTGCTACCAGGTGGTGCAGAGGCTGGCGAGTTTCCAAGAAGCGCATCAGTGGTGCGAACGGCAACAAGCCCGGCTCCTCCGCTCGTGGGACCATCGCACCCAGGAGCTTCTGCAGGGCCACCTGGAACTGAGGACCAGCATCTGGATTGACTCAGGGGCACAGGCGCCTCATGAACACGGGCACCACCGGCACCACCACGGGGGTGAGAGGGGAGGGAGGGAAGCTGAGCAGGGGGAGAGGGTGGGGGCCCCAGAGTGGCCCAATCTGAGCTGGTCTTAAGGCTGCCAGGACTTCGGCTTCGGCCCCGAGACTCCGGTTCAGGTTTGACGCCTGGAAACGCCACCCACGGGGGCTGCTGCTGATCTGGTGATGGGCAAAGTTTAGCCTCCCTTTTTCTCATGAGTCCGGGACATGCCATCCAGACGGGCTCAGAGGCACCCTTGTCGTGTCCCTCCTCTTGCATGCTAGACAAGCTGCTGCAGCTGGAATTCGCACGCCTCCCATCCTTCAGATGCAACACGGAGGCCCAGCCCTGTCTGCCTGCCTGCCTGCCCCCGCCACCCCCTTCTCCAAGGGTTGCTCAAGGCTCTCCCCTCCTGTGACCCCCATGAAGTCTGGGGATCTGGTCCTAAAATCCTAGAGAACGGGATGCCTCTGACCTGGGATTCCCACCCTCTGCCCAGGATCACGGGTGCCCTGGGTCTTATTCCGTCGACTGGCACTGGCTCCGAAGGGCACAGACGTTGGCTGCCTTTTTCTCATGAGTCCGGGACATGCCATCCAGACGGGCTCAGAGGCACCCTTGTCGTGTCCCTCCTCTTGCATGCTAGACAAGCTGCTGCAGCTGGAATTCGCACGCCTCCCATCCTTCAGATGCAACACGGAGGCCCAGCCCTGTCTGCCTGCCTGCCTGCCCCCGCCACCCCCTTCTCCAAGGGTTGCTCAAGGCTCTCCCCTCCTGTGACCCCCATGAAGTCTGGGGATCTGGTCCTGAAATCCTAGAGAAGGGGATGCCTCTGACCTGGTTGGCAGCTGCCTTCCTCCCTCCCTCCCTCCCTCCCCTCCTTGCTGGCAGGGTTTGGCTCCTCCAGGAACTTCTGGGGCAAGGCAGCTCCTGGACCCCAGTGGGGTCCCCTCGGGCCAGGTTGCTCCGTCTGCTGAAGCCCCCTGTGGTTGCCTTCTGGTCCGTGCTCAGGGAGACCCCGAGCTCCCATCACGGATGGGGCTGGGTCTTAAGGGGAGGCGCTGTCAATGAGACAGATCCCTGGACATGTCCCTGGTGGAGGGCGAAGAGAGAGCCTCTCCAGTCAACGGGATGGTTGGCAGCTGTCTGTCCTTTCTCCAGGTCTGCCCCATGGTTGCAAGGCCCTCCTCCGGACCGGAGACGGTTTCCTCGCCACGACGGAGGCTTGCTCTCAGAAGCTGTTCTTCGTCTGCGAATCTGGTGAGGGAGGACCTCTCTCCTCCTCCTCCTCCTCCCCCCTTTATCTTGTGGACTTCCTTCCTCAGCTCCCCAAAACGGTTTGCTAGGAGGGAGAGGGGAGCGATCCTGCCATGGTACCCTCCGTCTGCCACCAAACATTGGCTGGCTTGGCGGTTTCGGGATGCCGGGCGTGGGCTCAGGGTCTTTGCGGACTGAGAGAGCCCTGAACCCCCATCCCCTGCCGCTTTGGAGAGGGAGAAGGGTCTATTTGGGAGTTATGGGAGAAGGGACCCCCCACATCTGTTTCCTTGGCTGAGCCTTACGGGGTGGGAGGGGCAGGAGACCCTCCCGTAGGGAAAGAACCCCTCCGGAGTTCAGCCTCTTCTCCTCTCGCCCCCCCCCCAGACCTCCCCAACAGGATCCGCCGAGACATGGTCACGAGCGCCCATCCGGTGAGTCCGGGGGGCCAAGGCAGACCGACCCCTTTGTGCAAGGTCTCACAAGTGCTGCTTGAGCATCGGCCGGCAACAGGACGGTGGCAGGGGGGGGCTGGTGGGGCTGACGGTCTCCCAGCTGGGCTGGGCCAATGTGCAGAAGCCACTGCGGTGCTCCCTGGTGGGGGGGGCAGGATCTAAGGGGGAGAGGGTGGCCGTCGCCCCTCACACCAGCCCCCCTCCTCTTTCTGCCAGCGCTCCTCCTGCCCGCAGCTGACATGCTGGCGGAACAGGGCAGAAACCACCCCCAGCGCGACGGGGACCTCCCGGCCCCCAGCCACAGACCCTCCGAGACCCTCCGGAGCCGAGACCCTCAGCAGCATCCCAACGC